ACACACACACACACACACACACACACACACACACACACACACACACACACACACACACACACACACACACACACAAATTGGTAATAAAATACAGCAGAATTAAAATGTTTTTCTCACTATCATGTCAATATAATGAGGATCTCGGCGGTGGATCGCGGAATATAAACATGAATTAAAGCGGCTTTACAATATTTAGAACTCACTTCTGATTGCAGAACATCCGGGATACTATAGATGACTTCTCCGTGCGACAGAACATGCAGGTCGGCAGACTGGCTGAGATTTCTAATCCTGATGTCGACGTGCTCTACATCAGTCCGATGGAGTGGGATGAATATGTCACCGACTATTACAGGTATGGCTTCAGCACATGTTAGCGTAGCTGCATGTGTAATAGCGTAGGTATAGGAACGCATATAAATAAAAATAATAAAAAATAAATAAAGAAGATTATCAAAATAAACTATAGATAAAAACTATAGTTGCAGATACTTCTCGCTTTCTAACTATATAAACTCCCTGTTCTTATTAAGTAAATGAAATTGGTTGATAATGTGTATAACTTTATGCCAAGCACAGAAATAGAAATGCGCGTTCTGTAAATGATGTACGAATTCAGAAATATGTTGTCCGTACCTGTGGATGACGGACCCTATGCGCTCCTGGAAGGTCCAGCCGATGATATAACGGACGAAGCCGACTACAGGTGAAACTTTCCACGCACAAGATTTCACAGGTTACAGTGTAACATGACTTGTGTTTAAGGTTTTCAATTGTCATAGCCAGCTAACATGATAATTATACATAAACATGTTACATATGATAATATCGTTAAAGTAAAAAACACGCAAAGTTTTGGATGACAGATATATTTATGTGCGTCGGATTGTATTTAAAACGATCATTTCTCAAATAAATCGAAAAATTAATTAATTTTGACAAATTTAGACTCACCTGTCAGTGTACATTTACTGTTTACTTCAGCAGTAAAATTATTACGAGTTCCTGCTGTTATAGGCCATAAAACAGTAAATAAACAGCAAATCATATGTTGACATAATATGTAAACAATCTAATTTGAAATGCAGATCGGTGCACATATTGCTGGAAAGAATGTTGTGCGAGCGGTCTATGGCATGGTAGCCTTACTATAATTATGATACATTTGGTCAAGAGCGTATAAAGAAGGTTCTTTATACGCTTCTTTATAAGCTTCTTTATACGCTCTTGATTTGGTGTTATGCAAGCGGTACCGGTAAGTATCATAACGGTTGAGAAAATATGAAAACGGTAGGTAAAACCTGAGCAATCCTCGCTTTAACAATCTAATATTAATCCCGAGCGATCCACTTGTCTAACACGCCCATTGCATCGGCGCTTCTCTATAGGTTTCGAATCTTCGTGCCGGAGGCTGTGCGTGAATTTCCGAATCATCGCATGTGCGTCGCATCGCTACTGAAGTACTCGCCGAAAACGCTGCGCCGCATAAAGAGCTTCATCCGGGGCCGGGAGGCGTACATCGTGCCGGGTGTGATGCACCAGGATGACCTGGAGATTGCCGAGGTGCTCAACGTGCCGATTCTCGGCACCGAACCGCAGGTGTGTGTGTGTGTGTGTGTGTGTGTGTGTGTGTGTGTGTGTGTGTGTGTGTGTGTGTGCCCAGTGTGTGGTGTGTGTGTGTGTGTGCGTGTGTGTGTGCTGTGTGCGCCGCGGCGCGTGTGTGTGTGTAATGTAATTAGGAGAGCGTAATTAGTGAAAACTAATGTAGCGTAGAAGCAGATATTATAACTAGCGTTGATGTGAAGAATGCAACCCGTTTACCTGTAGAAAACTCAACAGCGTAGATGTAGATAACGTAACTCTTGGATATAACTCGTATATAGGTGTAGTATAACTATCGGATAGTAGAGGCTGGTGTAACTACAGCAACCGAGCAATCCTACTGAACCGTAACTACACACGGTAATGGCTACACACAGTGGCCTAAGGCATGTATTCACGCACGCAATCACAGGTGGCGCAACTGTACGGTAGCAAGTCGGGAGCTCGGCGCATATTCCAGGCAGCTGGCGCCCCCTGCGCGCCGGGTATGTGTGACGTGTACACGAGCGAGGAGCTGTACGATAAGCTGGCGCATCTCATCGTTAACAACCTGTCCGTCAAGCGCTGGCTCTTCAAGATCAACATGGAGATCGACGGCCGAGGCACCGCCTACTGTGACGTCACGTCGCACCTCGCCTGCGACGCGTGGCTGCGCAGCGAGGCGGCGCGCTACGGCGCCACCTGGCGGCAGCCGTGGGCGCAGGAGGCTGCCGTCGACCGCGTGCGCGGCGAGCTGGCGGCCATCTTGGAGTCGCACGCGCGGCCCGTCGTTGAGAGCCTCTACCCGACGTGGCGCAAGTTCAGCGAGGTGCTGCTCGGTAAGGGAGGGGTTCTCGAGGCGTACCCGCCGTCCGACGACGTGACGAATCTCACCGCCGACGTGCTGGTGGCGCCCGACGGCCGCGTGCAGTTGCTCGTCGCTGGCGACCAGCTGCACGCTGAGAGCTCGCTGCGCTGCTGGGGCACGTCGGTACCGCAGTGCTCGGTAGAGCCAGCCGAGCTCAACAGCTGCTGCCAGCGCATCGGCGAAGCGTGCCGCAAGCGACGAATAGTCGGCTACATCTCGATCGACTTTGCGACCTTCGTCGACCCGGCTTCCGGCGAGCAGCGAATGTGGGCCACCGACCTTGACGTCGGCTACAGCGAGCATCTCGCTAACTTCGAACTGCTGCGACATCTGACGGGCGCGCGCCTCTGCACCGACACGCACACGCTCAGCGTCGAGTTTAGGCCGCCGCCGTCCGGTCGCCGGGTGCGTCGGGGGAGAGCTTCTAAGCCGCCGCCGCCGCTCGTGCAGCAGCGCTACGCTGTGCTCAGCTCGCGGCTGCATCACTCCAACCTGGCCGTCGTGCACTACAGCGTCTTCTTCCAGCTGTGCCGAGCTAACGGCATGGGCTTCAGCACCAACGACAAGCGCGGTACCGTGCTGATGCTACTGGACAGCTTCGGACGCGAGCATCTCGGTATGTTTACCGTCGCGAACACCCTACAGAGGGCGCTGTCGATATTCGGTCGCAACCTAGCAACGCTGCATCGAGAGATCTCGTCGCCGGAAATGCAAGGGGAGACGAACTTCCTGCTCGGCGCTCGCGACATCGACGCCATTTTGGGGCAAACGTTAGAGAACGAACTTGATGCCGCTAACACACAGAGCGAAGCAGTCACTAATAGCTATTAAATATAGTACCTACGTTATACTTTCAATATGATGCGATTATCACGCGAATGAGAGCGCTACTGGAAAAATGTGAACGCTAGCGGTGAAGCTGATCTTTACCATATTAAAGATAAAATTGTTATTAATAAATTGCTTGTCGATAAAACAACGCTGTTTTTACAGTTTGATCTTTTCGTTGACTCACGTTTTCCACTTGGTGCGGTAGACACTTTTTTGTGACGAAACCGCATGTATAAAAGACCACATCACGGCATCAAATTTACCACCTATCCTTAGAAATTAACATAATCGTCGTAAAAATAACATAGACGTTCAGGCTAAAAATAATTCACAAACGTACATTGATAAATCAACAGACGTACGAGAAGCGTAATATATTAAGCTAAGGGAACACATCGATTAATAATGTGTTGAAGCTATATACGCGCATTAATTTTACATTTTCGTATGTTTAATTAAGATGCTATAACGGGCTACGTCACATGCAATTACTTCTAATCCAATTAGAAGAAAGGTTAGGTATATAGTGTAGAGCCCCATCATTACATAGCTATCCAACTATGGGTATGCGGAAGCTCTTAAACACGTCGCAATGCGGATAACGAACTATGCTATCGTATTATATGGGCACACGAAAAAGAATAACAGAATCTATCAAATTATGAGCCGACAGTGCATATAGTACGCTGCCTTCCGGCAAGCCGCGCAATAAAAAATAGGGCACGAGTTTAAAAACGGTGGCCATCGGTGGCCAGTTCATGCTCCGCAGAGCCAACTGCATTGAGATAACGCGAAACGGACATAACCACTTCTGATAATCCCCCAGCACTGGTACAGGTGCGTGAAAATATGCGGGCACGCATGCGAGGTTATCGGTACCGTATATAAAATTACAGGAAATTGTCCACAGGAATAACAACCCATAACGTACTTCCGCCCTTGGAATAGCTATTTAATTTTCAATAATCAATGCATTGTAATATCGACGCGAGAGTACGTATAATACAGTGTGTTCAGTTTGGATGTATAGTGTGCACGAACGAGGAAACTGCATGAATCTAGTAGATCAGTGAAAAACTAGCAATGTGGGTGCCAAGAAAAGCTAATCGTAAAACGCCATGCTGCCGAGGTTTACATGAGTTGAGAGGAGGTTTCCACTAATGATCGAACGTACTGCAGTATCCCGCTCTTCCTAAACGTGTGCGAACACATGTGCACCGCAACTATTTACTTCGCGTGTATTTTTATACAGTTCTATGCCCCGCGCGATTCACTGTGCGCGGGTGTCACACAGTTTTGTAAACGCCATCGCGTTTAAGAAATGATTCGCCATGGTGTTTTGTGGCGACATCTGTTATATATAAATTATCGCAATAATACAACGTTCGTTATATAAAACTAGAACATGCTATGTTGGAATGTAGTCAAGTGACCGAACATCATTGATGATTCATTATTTAGATATAGTAGTGAAAATCTTGAAATAAACAATGCTTTCGATATAAATAATGCGTTCGATCGAGGAATGTCAGTGTACCTTCCAAACTTGTCACTAAACCCCGTGTAGAACATCCCAGTAAATGTCAGAAGATAACGTAATACAAAACAACAGAATTATGGATTGGAAACAGTACATTATAAAATAATATCGTGTAGGCCATGATACATATTTTTTAGTTCATACAGTAACATAAACTTCGTACTGTAAAAGTGGAAATAGACTGCAGTGACAAACTACCGTTCACCGTCAAAATCGCAAGCTCCAGTCACACTGCAGACAATATAACGACTGGCGTTGTGCCAAAGGAAGTTTTCTTCTCGCTACGCAATGACGCACATTTTAAGTTTGTAAACTTGAGACTGTTAAATATTACAATTAATTAAGTTGATTATTGTCATTAGTGATTAAGTCAATTTATTTCGAGATTCTGTGTAAGGATACCCAAATATTTTCTTTAAACTGGGCAGCCTTGTACGATAAATACCAACGATTATATAAAATGAAATTTCATGAACAGCTAAAAGAGTATGTTCGACAGACGATAGTGCAATCCGAAGCCAGCTGCCTGGGCAACCCAAATTTCCTTCCTAATTGTTTTGTCACATGCTGATGAACGCATTATCCATCGTCTTCGATAGGTTATTTATGAAATGTCGCGCGACTATACCACTGGGAATTAGAAACGATTATAAATATTTATGCAATGCCTAATTAAAAACAATAATTTCTAATTTTCTTAAATGTCGTCAAACGTTACGCTTAGTTGTTGTCGCTGCAGTGTGTCCTGGTCTCAACTCTCTTTCCGTCTCTCTAATCAATAGAAATATTGAAACATTTCCTACCACAATCACCATTGTTGGTTTACGCATTTGATTGCTCTCCATTATAGACGTTAGGACTCTTCCGACCTTCGTTGTCGTAAATTGGACTTGTAGAGCATTTTACAGGGCAATAGGGTACAGAGAAATCGAGCAAGAGGATCGGCAACAGCTTTTTGCATGCCGCCATTTTGCTTTTGTTTAACATGGCCTTATGGCAAACTTCATTTGTCGTTGCGAAAAACAAATACGTACTTGTCACTATTGTTCGTTCCAGGCTATTGTGCTATTGTTTTACTCCACGTTCTAAACAATTTAGATGATCACTATTGAGAGGCTGATTTAGCATATTGTAACAGGTGACCTAATTACCTCTCACCAAGCTCATGGTTAATTACGCATAATCAATTATGCATGAATTAATTACAAACGACTGACCGACCGTCACCATGTGGGTTGCGCAGAAACACACATCGCAGCCGGATTAGCAGCTACTGTGCTACTGCGAAGGAAAGGTTGACCTAAAGCGACTGTGTCTCACCTTTGAAACAACAACGACAACGATAACAACAGCAACAATAAAATAACAGCATGCAACATCGGACTACCTCTGCTGGGTACCGCCTCCCAGATCAGGACCACAGAGCTCAGCGTCCGAAATCCGCGCGCCCAAAAACGGCATCGGCGATCCAGCGTAATGCAACTGAAGCGTTTCCCACCTCCGACATTCTTCCCGCATGGGAAGACGAGAGAAATAAAGTGAGACTCGATGAGATATGGAAGTACACCGTGGAGAGGGAGAGGCGGAGTTTAAAGCTATGGTGAGCGGTTCAATCACAAATTTCTACGCAGTGTATTACGAGGCTTTCGGTTTTGTAATGAATTGAATATTTGATCATATCAGGTTGAGAATACGCGAAGCGAATTTATTGATAGATTATATTGCAATGAATATTATGTACTGAATGTGAGCGTATCTGTTGCTTTTGCTACCAGGGAAGAAAAATGGGGATTCATGACTTGCTACGACGTCAAGGTATGACCCTGTTAATTAATCTATGTGATAGAATAGTTCCATAAAATGGGGAGTAAGAATAAAAACGAATTTAAAAAAGCTAGACATGCCAACTAATAATCAAATACGATTTGATAGAATTTATTAAATAATCAAATTCAATGCCATTGTCATTAGTGTCTGCGTGTGTATGCATGTGTGTGCGCGCGCGCGTATGCGTGGTTTATGTGTGGTGTGTGCGTACTTCTGTATGTTTGCATGGTACGGAGTACCACAGTATGTAAAGTACGGAGGTCTTTCCTTCGTACATCTCCGTTTCACAACCTTCTCTCATATTCAGTTAATCACGAATCCAAGTAATTCACAAAGTTACGGCCTTCTCTACCAAAACTCCTATTTCGTCGCTGTAGATTTCGCCTGTCGTCGTCTAGCGTTTCATCTGTTGGTGGAATTTTGCATTCTTAATCTGACTTCTTATATCCTCAAGGGTCGGTTGAAAGAAAAGAAGCGTCCGTCTATTGACGTGTCGACGGTTCATAACACGCTAACCGCTTCCAAGCCGCGCAACACGGAATGGGGTGCGAGGCTACAAACGGATATCGGTCGCCAGCTCATGCGCATGCAACGCAACCTGAATTTTGATCCTAGAAAACGAAAACAACGAGACATAATCACCCAATACTAGATTCCTATGTTAATCTCTACAACGGAACTATCGCAAGAGCGCGCATGCGCACATGCAGCTATAGTCACGGTTCAAAATTTCTGAAACTGTGTGTATAGTGGACATAGAATGAATAGCAGTTTAATCGGTTGTATATACGATTGTGTTTTTTAATCCGACGAACTTAGAATGGCGTATGTATATATGTGGAGAGTGAGAGAGCAAACATGTCGCAACACAAATAACGATCTAGAGCAGCGCGCGTGTATTAATTTCATATAGTGTGGCAAAACTACCCGGTAGCGGATTACGGCGAACTAGCCACTTATAATCAAATACACCGTACTACACGTATTCATGGTATGTTTTGTTGAAACTACTAAATGTCAGAGGAAGTACATAAATAGGAAATAGCATGTAAACTACGTTGACCTGCGCCACAGTGACACACATTAATTATCTACTGAACTTGATAATTCCTGTTTTTCTGATCGATAAACGTGGTTCTGTGTGAATCTTTGTGTACTTTGACTATGGATTGCAAATTTCATCATATAATTACCAAAGCAAGCCACTTAAAAATCCTTCAGTTAACCCGAAAACGAGAACTTGGAATTAGTAGCGTATTTTCTGCTACTAGATCGTGCGCACACATGCGCGCGCATGCACACACACACACACACACACACACACACACACACACACACACACACACACACACACACAC